AAAAAATTATTTTGTAGAGATGGGTCTCACTATGTTGCCCAGGTTTGTCTTGAACTCCTGGCCTCAAGCCATCCTCCCACCTTGGTCTCCCAAAATGCTGGAATTACAGGTGTGAGCCACTGCGCCCAGCCTGTAGCCATTATTATTAGGTAATTTTAGTAGATATCTCTACCATAAAGGGCCTGTGAACTTCTAGGTAACCAGTAAGGCCGGTGGCGTACTGCTTTGCTGCCATAGATTTTTGTTTCCTAGTTAATACCCACGGAAACATGAATCTTACCTCTAGCCCTGCGGTCCCCGGCACAGAGATCTTCAAAGCTGGCTGCACAGCAGCATCACCTGTGGAACTTACGCTCATGCTATTGTGATTGCCCGGGTCGAAGGTTGGCACCTGGCCTCCTCCTGATGCACAGGCCCACCCACAGAAGGGATCCACTGAAGCCCACCAGGTCCGGAAGTATGAGGAACCCCCAGCACCCACCTCATTGTGGAACTCACAGTCCAGCCACTCTCAGGATGGATCACCACCTTCATCAGAACCATCTGAGCAGCTTATATAGCTTTCTAGGGGCCCAGCTCAGACCTGTTGAACTGGAATCCCTGAGGGTGAAGCCAGGAATGGGGTTCTAACAAGCTGGCCGCAGTGCATACCAAAGCATTTATGTTCTGCAGGAAAACGCGCTGCCTGCGTGAGTGGTGCATGCAGGTGCTGGCTTCCATAAAGACACTAGAGATTGGGCAGTGTTTGAAAGATGGTGCAACAGGCCCCTCACCCTGGGGCCCGCGGGCTCACCACTCTGCCTAAGGAGTTGCTCTGAGCTCTCGCCCCAGCCCTTGTACACAGCAGTGCTGCATTTGAACCTTTCTTTAATTTTTTTGTTTTTTTTTTTTGAGATAGAGTCTCACTCACTCTGTCACCCAGGCTGGAGTGCAGTGGTGTGATCTCAGCTCACTGAAACCTCCACCTCCCAGGTTCAAGCAGTCTTTCTGCCTCAGCCTCCCTTGCAGCCAGAATTAAGGTGCCCACCACCATGCCGGGCAAATTTTTTTATTTTTTTGAGACGGTGTCTGGCTCTGTTGACCAGGCTGGAGTGCAATGGCATGATCTCAGCTCATTACAACCTCTGTCTTCCAGGTTCAAGCGATTCTCCTGCCTCATCCTCCAGAATAGCTGGGATTACAGGTGCCCACCACCACGCCCAGCTAATTTTTGTATTTTTAGTAGAGATGGGGTTTCGCCACGTTGGCCAGGCTGGTCTCGAACTCCTGACCTCAAGTGATCCACCTACCTCGGCCTCCCAAAGTGTTGGGATTACAGGAGTGAGCCACTGCACCTGGTCTTAAAGGCCTTTCACCTTGCCAGCACACCTTGGCTGCTGGAGGATGGCAAACACTGTTTCCTGCCCCTGTGCTGTAATTCTCACAGATATGCAGAAAGATTTGTTTGCCCTGCCTCAGTAAATAAGGAAAATACTTTCTTAGGAGGCTGTTCCAATAACTGCATGTTCCTTGCCGTCCTCTACGGAAATCACCATCTGCTCTCCCAAGTTCTTCTGGAAAGAGCACCGTAACCATGTCATCCTAACAGCGATGCCATGAAGAAAGGGAGGCAACTCCCTCCATGTCCTGGCTCCAGTGCCCACTTCTGTGTCCCCTCCACGGCCCACACAGCCTGGCCACCTGGGTGACATCTGGTGCCTGTGTCACTTTCTGCAAGACAAGGACCAGCCTCAAAGAGGAGAGCATGTTGTTCTGAAGGAGATGGTGGCTGCCATCACCTGTCCTGTGGCTTTCCTCTGACTGCCCAGGTGGGGGCCCAGAGGCGGCGCCTCTCACTCCAGTGGAGTTACATAATTTCCAGGCTTCCCTGCAGTTTTCTCCTCCCCATCCCTGAACTGTTTACACAGCAGCTCTCACCCACAGAGAGTCCGTGTGATGGCTTTTCCTCTGTTTGGAAGATGTGGATGGCTGTGTCCCAAGTTTTTCCTACCTAAGATCCTTTTCAGTAGGGGATGGATTCGGCCTATCTGATGATCAAGAGATCAGGGTGGCCTTTGTGATACTGTTACGCCCGCTCCCAGGTCCAATAAACAGTCTTCTGACAAATAATGGCCCTTCCTTTTCCTTCCCCACCTGTCCACCACCTGGTAATGTAAGCATGGCAAAATCCCACACACCCTTTCCAGAAATCCCAGGACTCATGTGGGAAATACTTGCATAATTAAAGCCTTCTGAGAAATTGCTTCTTCCTTGAACTTACCTACTTTTGAGCGGTGCTTTAATCCTGTATTAAGGGGACACCCCCCAAAAATGGTTCTACTTAATTACCCACCCTTCCTCAATCCTTTCTCCTCATTAATCATGCAAGCCTTTTTTTTAGATGACCCAAGTGCCCAAAGCAATAATTACATTTCAAGTGTATTTTTAAAAATTATTTATTACAAACATTTACAATGTTCACTTTAAATGCAAAATAGCTTGTAAAAGAAAAAAAAACACTGAAAAATATACTGACCCTTTGCCCCATATACAGACATCAGCCTTTGGTATTTGCTTTCAGGTAATTAGGTAAAACAAACAAACGAAAACTTGAAACTATTATTTATCTCCAAGAAAACAACGTAGAGTTGAGGTATTCTATTTAACAGATGTGATCTCCATCCAATAAGGTCTCTCTGTTAATTAACAGCCTTGTGACATGCTGTTCCAATCCTTTCCTCCTAAAGTAGAATTTCATTTGAGCATATGTTCATCAAACTGACAATGTTCCTTAATAATCACTAAGGTTGCCATAGAAACTCCCTGGTGCTGGCACCCAGCCGCACAGAGGACAGGAGGCTGAAGGGCCCTTACAGGGCACTGAACTGGCCCTGAACTGGCCCGCCTGCCCCTCCATGTGCAGCCCCCTGCCCACGGCTGCACGGGACAGCTGGGTGCAGGGCTCTTGCCTCAAAGGGTCACAGGTTGCCCCTGTATCTCCAAGTTAAGACAGATTTCTCACCAACTCCACCTGGAGCTGGTGTCAGCATCCTCCCGACCTGGGTTAGCCTTCAGGACATGCTGTGAGATAACAGAGCTCAGCACCAAAGCAGCCAAGAAGACATTCCTGAACATTCTCCAGGACACAAACCCATAGACCACAACACTCCTAGCCTGCCCCGCTGGGCCCTGTTCACTACCAGGTGGGCTTCCAGCCTGGTTCCAGCAGCAGATTCCACACCCTGCCGCCACAACCAGTTTCCGTTCTCCCAAGACAGCAGGGAAATGCCAGGGGCTCCGTGTGAGCTCAGAGCCTGATAAAGAAAGTGCAAGGGCAAGTCGCCATCGGGGCCAAGAGCTTTCTGAGTTACCAAAGGCCTCGTCAGCATAGCCAATGCTACCCCCGGACACATTTCTTGAAAATATTTCATTAATGCTACAAACATTATTTATCATTTTACTTTAGACCTTGAACCAGCATATTTTTTACTTTCCCCACCCAGCAAGATAAGCTGTTGTATTTAATCTAAATGGTCTCTGTCCCAGCGTTTCATGTCTGGCTGTGTGGCAGATGGCTACAGGTATTAGGCAAATAACAGCACTGCTGGGGACTCAAGGCAGTGGGGGTGCTGCAGAAATACAGGTAGAAATGCCCCGTGGATCGAGACACATATTCAGTCACCACAAATTAGAGAACAGAGAGAGCTTAGGATGTATGCCTGTGTACACTGAGCCAGGCCTACAGCCCAGAGAAGACACTTTTTCTTCATTTACAGTAGCTTATGAAAAATAAAGGGAAAAAAACCCTCTTCAATACAAAAACAAAACAAAGAAAAAAAAGCAAAAAAAAAAAAAAAAAAAAACAGTTCCATTACAATAAAAATGAAAGCAATAACAATTTGGAGATCAAAGCTGCCTAGCTCTTGGCAATAATGAGCTATCTGAATTTCACATCTTCCGCTAGCATGCTTCTGCCCGGCTTCAGTAATACCACATGTGGGTAAAACGGTATAAAGAATTAACTGTGGGCACATAATCACCCTTCATGCAGATTCTCATTCTTAATATTTCCCTTTAACAGCATTTTTGCTGTTCTCAAGTCTCAGAAACTTTATGCAGCAGGATGGGAGGGAACCACCATAACCACCTGCCTGCCTTTTTTTTTTCTTAAATGTTATTGTTTATAATAGAGATGGTATCTCACTATGTTACCCAGGTTGGTCTCAAATTCCTGAGCTCAAGCAATCCTCCCACCTCGGCCTCCCAAAGTGCTAGGATTACAGGCGTGAGCCACCACACCCAGCCGTCCTGCCTTTTTGCCAACTTAAGATGAGGTGCCTCAAGCAGCAATAGGGTCTAAAATCTACAGACAAACCCAGCAATGAAAAGCACGGCTTGCTGAAGACAGTAACAGCTTAAACCTGGAAAACGGTAAACAAAACATGGTCACTTTCCTCCTTTTGCACCTGTCTGGTGATGGTGGCTGTTTTTCTAAGAGGGTAGAGTATTAGAAAGGTTTTGTGGTCTGGTATATCCCCACTGTGGAGTACCCTGATAACTTGAGAGCTAACTGGGTAACCACTAACACCACTGAATTTTCAAAGCTCGGGCAGAAAAGTCAGCTGAAGTGGTTAATCACGGTGTTACAATTAGACATTTAGTTCTGCTTCAATTCTTGCAGAGCTGAATCAACTCAAGGAGCTAAATAAAAAGAGGAAGGCACCGAGGTAAGGGATTTTTTAAAAACCTCCCCCTTTGATAGCAGAAGGCTCAGGGCTTTCAGGGTGGGGAATTTCTAGGACCCTGCCGGGTAGTCGTGGGAGGCTCCCTTCTCAGCACTGGGACAGGGACCGGACGCCCTCTCCATAACCGCCTGGGGGAGTAGTCACACACTGGTTTTTCCCTAGAGTAGAGAAGAGGCAGGCTATTTTTCCACTTTTTAAGACAAAAACAAAATACACAACGAAACCACAATCTCTTCGCTAATAGGGAAAATATTTTTTCTTTTCTTTTTCCTTTTCTTTTTTGAGACAGGGTCTCACTTGCTCAGTCACCCAGGCTGGAGTGCAGTGGTGCAATCTCGGCTCACTGCAGCCTTGACCTCCCAGGCTCAAGAGATCCTCCCACCTCAGCCCCCCAACTAACTGGGACTTCAGGTGCACGCTACCATACCTGGCTAATTTTTATGCTTTTTGTAGAGATGAGGTTTTACCACATTGCCCAGGCTGGTCTCAAACTCCTGGACTCAAGTGATCCTCCCGCCTCGACCTCCCAGAGTGCTGGGATTACAGGCGTGAACCACCATGCCTGGCAGGAAAAATATTATTTCTCTTCCTCCTTTTTCACTTGACTTAGTTTTGGGCTAAACAAAGTTATGGTGCTTCCCCCACACCTAAATAAGTTACTTCTATGCTGACACAGCGCATATTGGATATTCCACCCTCTCAAGAGAAAACAGTCAGCAGTTTTTTAAAAACCAAGTTAAAATGCATTCTTGCCGGGCTCATTTTTCTTTTCACATTGTCTTCCTTAATATTATCTTCCCTAGTTACCCAGGTTCGGCTGACAACAAACAAAGCTGCAGTAAAACAGTTTTGATCTCAGCACTGGCAGAAGCCCTCCCTGCTGCCAGCTCTCCTTTGTGGGAGGTGGAGAACAGAGAACATTGGTTTTCAGAGGCTCTGATCCCCCGCGCAGCTCCCACTCTACCGGGGATGGTGGAGACCCTGTGCCCCTCTCCTCTCCTTCCTCTGCTTCTCACCTGAGGTCCTGCAATCCAAAGCCAGTGCAGTTGCCTCTGTATTCAGCAAATGCCTAAGATTATCATTCACATTTAGCAAAATGCTAATGAGGAACTAATTATAATTCCGTTGAAAACGACCAGGCCCTGAGATACTGTATTATTCACCCACCCACCCTCAGCTGTTTTTCAACTGTGGGGAAGAAAGGGAGGAGAGAGCTTCTTTCCCCAGCCTTGGTGGTTTAAGTAAAAGCCGTCCCCAGGCTCAGAAAAACAGAATTTGCAAAGGCACTTGGGTTTTAGGAGTTTGAGCTGGAAGATGAAATGATGCAGTGGGCCAGGAGCGTGGCGGCTGAAAGAGGCTTTGGCTGGAAATCCGCCCCACCTGCCTGAGGGCGCAGCTTGTGCAGAGGTGTTGGGGGGTGGGCTGCCAGCCGCTACTCCACACTGAGGCCCCCGCCAAGCTGCCCAGCTTTTGAGTGTCCGTGTTGAATGTCCAAAGAGTCTTGACATGCTTCTCTTCACAGTGGCCCAAGTTCACTCTAACCCCTTTAAGCCAGGCATTTGGAAAGGGAGGTTTGAAACCTCAACCAGCTGAACAGCTGGAGCAGGCTGATTTTCCCCTGGTGTCGAACCTTCCGCAAGGCTCTTCCGTGAAGCCAAAGGCCCCACTCCCCTGAGATAAGCTGGCATGGCAGTAAGAAGCATCCTTTGCTGAGCCCGTTTGTGCTCTGTCATCCACAGGGTCCAGCCTGCTAGTGCCCCCTGGCCAGCTATCTGGGGAAGAAGTAGTCTGTATTGCTGATGTCGTAAGGGCTCCGTGGGTCCCTGGCATCTGGTCGGTTGTGGCTCGAGGTGTTGTCAGACCCCAGGCTGCTGGGGGACACTGGTGGGGAGATGAGAGGAACAAGCACTGGGGTGGGTCGCGGCCTCTCTGGGACCAGCTGCCCCAAAGAATACGGCGGGTGCATGCTTGTCTTGCCTTCCTTCAGAGCCCGCAGCTTCCACGTCTTCTTGAACCTTCACATAAACACACAAAGACAAACCACACAGATGTTTAGCTCCCCCTGTGACAAGCCCACATTGGAAAACACCAACAGCTGGCCGCCCTGGTGGCCTGGCGCTCCCAGGTTTCAGCTCAAAGAAGCAAAAACTATCAGCTGTCTTTTTGTTTTTTGTTCATTTGTTTGTTTTGAGACAGGGTCTTGCTCTGTTACCCAAGCTGGAGTGCAGTGGCATGATCTCAGCTCACGGCAGCCGCAACCTCCTTGGGCTCAGGTGATTCTCCCACCTCGGCCTCCTGAGTAGCTGGGGCGTGTGCCACTACATCCAGCTGATTTTTGTATTTCTCATAGAGATGGGGTTTCACCACGTTGCTCAGGCTGGTCTTGAATTCCTGGGCTCAAGCGATCCGCCCGCCTCGGCCTCCCAAAGTGCTGGGATTACAGGTATGAGCCAGCACACCCGACCCGACTGCTTTTATCACCAGGGAGTTCACCATACTCTGAAGAGTTGCTGAGTTTCCAAAACACTCCCAAGGAAATAGGTATTATTGGACCAATTTACAACTGAGGAAACTGAGGCACCAAAAAGTCACTTAACAGTTCCTTAATTGTCCCATTCCAGAGGCTGTTCATTAGGTACACATCATCAGTCCCAAATACATTTACTTAAAAAAGAGAAAAATAGGCTGGGTGCGGTGGCTCATGCCTGTAATCCCAACACATTGGGAGGCTGAGGTGGGCAGATCACCTGAGGTCAGGAGTTCAAGACCAGCCTGGCCAATGTGGTGAAACCCCATCTCTACTAAAAATACAAAAATTAGCTGGGCGTGGTGGCAGGTGCCTGTAATCCCAGCTACTTGGGAAGTTGAGGCAGGAGAATCGCTTGAACCCGGGAAGCAGAGGTTGCAGTGAGCCAAGATCACGCCATTGCACTTCAGCCTGGGCAACAAGAGTGAAACTCTGTCTCAAAAAAGAAAGAAAGAAAGAAAGAAAAGAACAGAAAAGAAAAATAAAGTATTATTTCAGTAGGGAAAGAAAATGGGCCTCTCAGTCAAAGTAAGGCTGGCAGGAGGCAGATAATTTGCAACTGCCATGTAATAGCAGGAAAAGGGTCCCACTGCTCCCTCAACTGCCCTCCTGTTCCTCTTGCTCCTAATGTTGCCAACCTCCCCAGTTCTCCCTACGCCTCTGGGTCCACTCCTACCATGCTGGTGAGTTCCCACAGACTCAACTGTGGGCACCACTGGGCACAATTTGACTCATCTAACAGGAAAGTCAATGCTACACAGGAAGGAGATAGACATCTCTCTGATCACAGCTTCGTTCACAGTGCTCCACTCTGGGCCCAAAGCCAGGGCTCAGTAACTGAGAAAAGTCACTTGACAGCTCAAAGAAAGATGAAATGGTGACATGGATCTTCAAAAGCACAGTCACGTCCCGTTCCTGAAGGGGCTCTTCAACTGTGCCAGGGTGGCCAGTGCGCCAAGCCTCAGCCCCTCCCTCTTGCTTCCCACTTTGTGACTGACATGCCTACTAACCCCAAAGTGGGAACAAGGTGGCCTCCCTCAATTCCATGGAAGATCAGTTACTCCAGGAAGGGCTGGGAAAGAGGAGGGGAAACCAATGTCAAAAACAAGATTGGGGGATTTCCCTTGGGTTTCTTTTTATATCGACAGGTTATTCCTGTCCTTGTTATGATAAATAACTAATAGTTGGCTCCAAATCTGCCACTGGCTTTTAGCTTGGTATCCAAATGGAATAAACAATCTGCAGAATGTTATTTAGGGCTTCACCATGTGGACACCACACAGGAAGAGAGCCCAGTAGGGCTGCTGACTGGAGCTATGCTGAGTCACTGAATGGAGTTCTCCTGTAGGAAAGGACTGAGGAGAGAGTCATTACACTCTGGATTTCAAAGAATTCAGACTCTCTGACCCAGGAATTCTACTTCTGGGAAAAGAAAGAACATAGCTATAAAATAAAAAAACCTTCATGCACAAAGATGTTCAACACAGTGTTGTTTATAAAAGCAAAATAAGGCTGGGTGCGATGGCTCACGCCTGCAATCCTAGCACTTTGGGAGGCCGAGGTGGGTGGATCACTTGAGGTCAGGGGTTCAAGACCAGCCTGGTCAATGTGGCAAAACCTTGTGTCTACTAAAAATACAAAAAGAATTAGCCGGGTGTCATGGCGCATGCCTGTAATCCCAGCTACTGGGAGGCTGAGGCAGGAGAATTGCTTGAACCCAGGAAGCGGAGGTTGCAGTGTGCTGAGATCGTGCCACTGCACTCCAGCCTGGGCCACAGAGTGATATGTCTCAATAAATAAATAAATAAATAAATAAATAATAAATAAAATAAAAGCAAAATAACACCCAAATAATTGGTCATGTTTGGGTGCCACCAATTAGAATAGGAGGTTGATTAAGAGAACTCGGTATATTCACCTAATACTACAGCTAATGAAAGTGAGATTTATGGCTAGGTGTGGTGGCTCACGCCTGTAATCCCAGCACTCTGGGAAGCCAAGGCGGACAGATAACGAGGTCAGGAGTTCGAGACCAGCCTGACCAACATTGTGAAACCCTGTCTCTACAGAAAAATACAAAAATTAGCCGGGCGTGGTAGCAGGCGCCTGTAATCCCAGCTACTCAGGAGACTGAGGCAGGAGAACGGCTTGAACCCAGGAGGCGGAGGTTGCAGTGAGCTGAGATTGCACCATTGCACTCCAGCCTGGGCAATAAGAGTGAAACTCCGTCTCAAAAAAAAAAAAAGAAAGTGAGATTTACAAAGAATTTGTACTAATGTGAAAGAATGCCTGTGTTATAGTGCTAAGTGTGAAAGGCAGGATACAGAGTTGAGGATACAGAATAATCACGGCTGTGTAAAAACAAACAAGAAACTAGGCAGAGGAAAAAGACTCAGGAAATTTGTCTAAATATTAAGTGTTCTTGATCTGGGTGTTGATTGTGAAACCATCTCCACAGGGTTGACAAAAATTGCATGCTGGGCTCTGGACAGAAATACATTAATGGTTATAATGAAGCAGTAATCAGGCTGCACTTTGGCCCATTTCCTTATTGCAAAAAGTCACGTAGCCCTAGACACTGACCATCTGCATCCCCGTTGTTTCTGTAGATAGGATTTCTGACATTAGGATCCTAAGACTTTTGTTTAAGGATCACTTAAGATGTTTTACAGACCCCGAATTCCGGCAACCAGTTTGAAGACCCTCACAGAGGAATGGGATTGGCATGAGAAGACAGCTTCTTCATCTCCCTGTCCCTGGACCTCACCCTACACCCTGCAACCAGTCAACCATCTCCACACTTTGGCCCAGTCCAACATTTTTACAACCCTAGCCCCATATTCCTTGGGGAGATGGATTTGAGGTGCTGGTGGAGGATTACCTAGGTGCCGAGGCAAGAGACTGAAGGCACAAACTGTTTCAGTATACTAAAGAAAATAGAGGCCGGGCGCGGTGGCTCAAGCCTGTAATCCCAGCACTTTGGGAGGCCAAGACGGGTGGATCACGAGGTCAGGAGATCGAGACCATCCTGGCTGACACGGTGAAACCCCGTCTCTACTTTAAAAATACAAAAAACTAGCCGGGCGAGGTGGCGGGCGCCTGTAGTCC